CAATTCCAAACCGACCAGCATATCGAAGCAATCCCAATGAGACGAAAGAACTTCAAAGGCAGGTCAAAGAACTCATGAAAAAGGGACATGTGAGGGAAAGCATGAGTCCATGTGCAGTTCCAGTGCTACTTGTGCCTAAGAAGGATGGGACTTGGCGTATGTGCGTTGATTGTCGTGCGGTCAACAAACTCACTGTAAAGTATCGTCACCCTATTCCTAGATTAAATGACATGTTAGATGAGTTGCCTGGTTCTTGCATATTCTCTAAAATAGATTTAAAGAGTGGATATCATCAGATTAGGATGAAGGAAGGTGATGAATGGAAAACAGCCTTTAAAACGAAACATGGTTTATATGAGTGGTTAGTTATGCCATTTGGATTAACTAATGCACCTAGTACATTCATGCGATTAATGAATCATGTTTTGCGTGCTTTCATTGGCAAATTTGTGTTTGTTTATTTTCATGACATTCTGATATATAATAAGAGTTTAACTGATCATTTTGAGCATTTTGCAAATGGTTCTTGAGGTTCTAAGAAAAGAAAAGTTGTTTGCTAACCTTAAAAAGTATTCCTTTTGCACAAATCAGATTGTCTTTTTAGGGTATTTTGTTTCAGCTGATGGACAAACAAAAGTGGTTAGTAGGGCGTTGTCAACCTTATTGCGATCTATTATTCAGAAGAACTTGAAGAATTGGGAAGAGTGTTTGCCGCACGTTGAATTTGCTTATAACCGGAGCATCCATTCAGCAACTAACTGCTCGCCATTTGAGGTTGCGTATGGTTTTAATCCACTCACTCCTTTGGATTTATTGCCATTACCTATTGATGAACAAGCTAGTTTGGATGAGAAAAAGAAAGCTGAAGTGGTTAAGCAACTACATGAGAGGGTGCAGCAAAACATAGAGCGACAAATTGAGCAATATGCAAATCAAGCCAACAAAGGGCAAAAGAAAGTTGTGTTTGAACCTGGACATTGGGTTTGGGTGCATATGCAGAAGGAGCGATTCCCTGGACAAAGGCATTCTAACTTGCAACCAAGAGGTGATGGACCATTTCAAGTGATTGCAAGGATAAACGACCATGCATACAAGTTGGAGCTTCCTGGTGAGTATAATGTTAGTGCTACTTTTAATGTTTCTGATCTTTTTCCTTTTCATGTAGGTGATGATTTGAGGACAAATCCTTTTGAGGAGAGAGGGAATGATGGGAATCAAGACGACAGCATATCTACCATGTCATGTGATCCATTACACACCCAAGGAGGTCCAGTCACGCGAGCTAGTGCTAAGAAGATGCGTGAAGCTTTAAATGGCCTTATTGAG